ACATGCTGTGATTCTGTGATTAGGAAGAAATTCTTTGCTGTGAGGGTGGTGAGAGCCTGGCCCAGGCTGCCCAGGGAAGCTGTGGCTGCCCCATCCCTGGCAGTGTTGAAGGGCAGGGTGGATGGGGCTTGGAGGAGCCTGGGCTGGGGGGAGGTGTCCCTGCCCATGCAAGGGGTTGTATCTAGATGATATTTAAGGTCCCTTCCAACCCAAACCAGTCTGGGATTCTGGGATTCTAGGTAGGATGCTGTCAGAGGACAGATTTGTGTCTTACAGTAAAGCTGGGAAGAGTAGTCAGGTGGGGATGGAGCTGGGGGATGACTGGGGACAGAAGTCCCTCAGGCTATTTCAGGCTGGGATGCCTTGTGCTCTCATGCCGACACCAGCCCCAGAAGCCTGGATGGTGTGTCCAGAAGGAGCAATGAAGGAAGGCTTGAAGCTGTGAGAGGGTCTGCACAGCCCAACCACCGCAGGCGGCTCCAGGTTCACCCACACTACATCACTCTTCAGACTAAGCTCTGCTGGAGTGGAAGCAGCTCCTTTAAAATGAAATTATCCTCAATTTCTTCTCAGGCTGATTTTCCATGCTTTTGTTGTGAGAACTGCACCTTTAAAGTTTTTTTCCAAAATAGCTCCAGTCTACCCAAGGGAGCAGTCAAGGAGATGAACAGAGATGTTGCTCTTCAGTACTTAGAGGTGATTTTATCCAGGTAGTTATCACAGCTGAAATACTGGCTTAGTATTTAATCCCTATTGGCCTAATGCACAGTGCAGACTGCAACAGTGTTTGTCATCTTGAGTTTGAGTCCTGATACTAATTAATGATTTGTAGTTAGTGGGTGAAACCCCTCCATGTGTCCTGGAAGCCAATGAGAAGTGAACACAGCAACAGCTGCCACAGATGTTGAGAGCTGGGCCAGATGTTAAATGTGCAGCCAGGGTTGTTTGTGGGTCTCATTTCCAGTTTATGGACACAAACCCCTCAGTTTCTGCTGCTGCTGCATCTAAAGCAGGTGGGACAACAGCCTGGGAGAGGGGATGCCATGAGGGCAACAGAAGTGTCCAGCAGCCCTGCCCACAGCCCTGCAGCAGCAACCAGCTGTGCTGGTCCCAGGTTCCTCACAGCTGGCGAGATCCATCAGGTCAGGACAAAAGCCTTTTTATTGCCAAACATTCTCTCTTCCTTCTGCTGAGAAACCTGTGGCTGAAAATGTTTCTTTGCAACTTCGGAGACTGCAAACTTTGGGAATCTCAAAGGCTTCCCTGGTGTTGCTTGTTGCTTTGTAGATGCAATGAGTCCCATCCTGTCTCTGCTCGTTAATTTTCAAGGTAGCAGAGAAAAGACTTTAACACATTTAGAAAACTGTAAATAATAACCACAATCAAATGGGTTGGACTTTGATGTGTTGTTATTTGCAGACGATGGTGTTTATTTTTGGCTGTTCTACTTACAGCTTAGTGAGACGTGAGAATAAATACATTTTCCAAGCTAATTTCCTGGCAATGCTGTCTAGGAGACCCTTGGTGTGTCAGGGGGTGATGGGGAAAGCTCCATAACAAATGGGCTCCATCATTTTTCTCCATCTGTCAGAAGAGTTTCTGAGCAAGGGGTGATATTTTACTTTGTCAGCTTGGAGTGCACGGAAATGTTGAGGCATGTCCAACATGTGAGGTTTTGTTCTAGCCCCTGCAGCTGAAAGAATCCTCAAATATTCTTCATAAATTCAAAAGTTCAGTTGCTCATGATGTGGAGGATGGTTGAAATGCAGTTTTTAAGTGCTGTTGTGCTGACAGAAATGGTGGTGAGAGATTTTCAGTGCCTGGATGCTGGAACAGTTCTTTCGTAACGTGTTTAAAACTGTTATGATAGGGGGTTTTATGGCAGTTTTTATGATAGTTTATAATAAAATTCAATCTTTTTGATCTTGTAAGAGCTGCAGTTTGGGACGTGCCTTTAGTAGGCAGGAAGTCTCACGTGGCAAGCCTTGGTGACAAGTTATTTGGTGGTAAATAGAGCAGTTACCTGAAACACACCCTGGCAACAAAGAGAATTGAATCTCATGGTCCCTCTTAGCCCTCTCATGTAACTTCACAGTCCTGACTCCTGCAAAGAGTTGCACTTTAACCCAAATGAGTCATTTTCCCTGCAATATCCTACTGATGTTTCAGGAAACTGCACCATTAGTGGGAGCTTGAAAAAGATGTCATGAGCTGTTTGTGTGCAGAATATTGTGGCTTTGTAAGGAAGATCCACCAGGACACACACACTCCAGGAGACTACTGGGAAAGAATTTGCCGTCTTAGTTTTCAACCGTAATTTGTCCCATTTCCTGAAGATACCCATTTCCATATTGTCACTGGAAAGAATAACTGATTTTTCAATAAAAACACATACTCAATCCTAGACCCTAGACAGTTGACCATAGGTACTAAACCCTTGACCCTACATGTGTTTTGATACCAATGAAGCCAGAAATGGTGTTGGTTGCATTTATGAAGCTGTGAAGCCAAGACAATGTCTGCAGATGTCCCATGTGCTGAAGCTGGGATGGAGTCAGAGCAAGGCATGTGCTGGACATCTTTCTTGAGTTTGACCAGCTGCCTTCAGAGAGACATTTGCAGCCTGATCCTGATAGTCAGGATCCTGGTACAGGCAGAGTCCAGTGAGGGTGCAGACATGCAGCCCCTTCTCCCTGGAATTGGGGAAGAAGCCTGGGAAGTGAGGAACCTTCTGGAAATTACTGAGTCAGAGAATTCCAGACTGGTTTTGGTTGGATGGGACCTTAAAGACCATCTAGTTCCAAACCCCTACAATGAGCAGGGACATCTCCCACTGGACCCGATTTCTCAAAGTCCTGTCCAACCTGCCCTTGAGCCCGTGGTGGTGGCACGGACAGTGCAGGTGCGGTTGGAGTCAGATGGTGCATGGGAGCAGCTGAGTCCCCATGGTCTGCAGGCTCTTGGGGAAGGAAGCCATGCCCTGGACCAGCTGCTGCTCCGAGCAGGCAGTGCTTTGTTTCTACCTGGAGGAGCTCAGCACATCAAACCTTCAGGGAAGGTTCCTCCAGAAGGAGCAAAGCCACAGCCATGAGTTGGCCCTGGTGACTTCCCTTTTGCCATGGGATGGGATGGAGGAGAGGGGAGGGGTTTTTTCTCCACCATATGGTTCATTTTCATAGATGATTTAATGTGCTTTAATCTAAGATCTTGGTTTGGTAACAGAACACCAGAGATGTGGGGTAGGTTGTCTGCCACCAAGGTCCTCCAGCACCCTCCTTTCAGGCCATGTTTGGCTGCAGGCTTGTGGTACAGCTGCCCATTGGTCTTGGGGACCAACATCTCATTTCTCAGTGAAATACTCAGGGTGGGACCTCATTGGGAACCTTTATTGTGCCTCCTCAATGTGCTTCCAGTGTGCTTGATCTGTCCCAAGGGTTTAGAAAGGTGGCCTGTCAGAAGCAGGTGATGAAGAGGAGCAACCACGTTTGGAGTGAGGAGAGGGAAAATATGTTTACTACCCCCTTTTGTTCCCAGCCCAGGCTGTTTTGGGCTCATCTGTGAAAGATGAATTGAAATCCTGACTGAGCCTGGTCAGGACCATGGAGTTCAACCATGAATTCTCACTGGCAGGGGAGCTGCTGCCCACTGATCTCCTGGGGAGAACAGTGCCTGCTTCAAAGGGCATAACCCTGTGACCCCAAGGAACTTGACCACAACATCTTTGTCAGTGACATGGACAGTAGGATTGATGCACCCTCAGCATGTTTGCTGATGACACCAGACTAGGTGGTGAGGTGACACACTGGAGGGGAGGGATCCATCCAGAGGGACCTGGACAGACTGGAGAGGTGGGGTCATGCAAACTGCATGAAGTTCAACAAGGCCAAGTGCAGGGTCCTGCACCTGGGTCAGGGCAATCCCAAGCACAGATACAGGTGGAGAATGGATGGAGAGCAGCCCTGAGGAGAAGGACTTGGGGGTATTGGTGGAGGAGAAGCTCAACATGGCCCAGCACCATTTGCTGGAGCCCAGAACCCACCCGTGTCCTGGGCTGTGTCACCAGCAGCGTGACCAACAGGGCTGGGGAGGGGATTGTCCCCTCTGCTCTGCTCTGGTGGGACCCCCTGCAGGGCTGGGAACAGCTCTGGAGCCCCCAACATAAGAATGTGGAGTGAGTCCAGAGGAGGCCACGGAGATGATCCAAGGGCTGGAGCAGCTCTGCTCTGGAGCCAGGCTGGGAGAGTTGGGGTGTTCAGCCTGGAGAAGAGAAGGTTCCAGGGAGACCTTAGAGCAGCTTCCAGTGCCTGAAGGGGCTCCAGGAAAGCTGGGGAGGGGCTTGGGACAAGGGCAGGGAGGGATGGGATGAGGGGGATGGATTGGAACTGGAAGAGGGAGATTGAGGTGAGACATGAGGAGGAAATTCTTTGCTGTGAGGGTGGTGAGAGCCTGGCCCAGGTTGCCCAGAGAAGCTGTGGCTGCCCCATCCCTGGCAGTGTTGAAGGGCAGGTTGGATGGGGCTTGGAGCAGCCTGGGCTGGTGGGAGGTGTCCCTGCCCATGCAGGGGGTGGGACTGGATGATCTTTAAGGTCCCTCCAACCCAAACGATTCTCTGATTCTAGGATTTGATGACCCCAACCTGGATCTGCTTGACCCTGTTTTGATGAGCTGCTCACCGTGGGCAGGGAGGATGGAGCCCACCATTCCAGAATACAGCAACATGCACGGGGCCAGACCTTCCCCTGCCTGCACTTTATCCTACGTGCTCCTTCTGAGAGCTCCTGGGATGGGAACAACCCCTTCCCTCACTCCCCTTTCCTGTCACACACCAAAAATATTCAAAAAAATGAAACTGGAGAAGCTGAGATGGAAAGTGAGAACATCA